AGTGACGGTAATTTGACTCTATCTTTATATTTCTTATGACAAAGATGTCGCTTGCTTCAGCTAAAACTCTGCACGCCTTAGCTGGGTATGTTTTTTTCACTAACAAGAATCTAATTGGGTTTTGTAGACCACCAATTCATTTTTAACTAGTCACTTTAGATTGACTTTTGATTTGATTTAGATTGATCCTACATAACCTCCGGAAAATTCACATCTAGGTTGGGTATATTCACCTGGAAGCAACTATTTTAATCTGATTTGATATTATTGAGTTTCAGGATCATCTAACTAGTTTCATAACGATTTTGAATACAGCATTCCAACTTCAAAAGCATGATAGCAGCATTCGCAGCAACTATGCTTATGAAAACGAAAGGTGGAGCAAAGGAATTTTTATAAGATTGAGCGAATGAAGTTTCGTGAACATCAACTGACTTCAGTCTAATAGCTTTCGACGCCACAACACTGGTAATTTTAGAGTGAATGAAAACCTGGAAAGAGGCTCAACGTAGCTGCGCCTCTAAGAGAAAATAAGTTCAAAACGTCAATTTTCCTTCTGCTCTTCCTCCTACTAACCCTCTACCAACCTACTACTCTATCCCATTTTCTTCTTTTCACTACTATTTTGCATTCACTCTACGAGATTCTGTCATTTGTAATTTCATTAATGGACGTGCTGGCGCAGACTTTTCCCATTTTCTTCGGATTTTTTGTTTTGCACCTTTGCCGCACCTCTATTGAATTTGTATGCATTTCATGTGCGCCACATCATACTCGCAACATATTCTCATATATATATATATATATATATGTATAAATAAACGCAGAACGTACAGAACGCCACGTGATTACCAGCGCCATTGCAGATATAAAATCAACCAAGCAATCGAAGGTTCAAGTGCCACATTCTAGTATTACATAGATGCATTTTCCGGGTCACTTGCGGTGGGCGGTGCAGTGTGTGTAAAATAAAATGTAGCATGCAAGAAACCCAAGCAACAGTCAGTTGGGACATTAGGATGGCAAGCCGAGAGCACGAACAACAGATAACAAAGCGGTGAAGCAAATGCAATTGCAACACTTTTTCACACAACAAACCAAGTGGCTGCTAGCTGGTGCCTTGGTGTGCAGCATGTGGCATGTGGCATCACTCGTGTGGTGTCCGAGTAGTTGGAGGTTTGAAAATTTCTTTCTAATATTTCCTGTATCCCATTGTAATTCTTACAACTTTTTCGTGTGGGTGTGTGTGTGTACACTCGAGTGACCCACAAACATGCCATGTATGCAACCGCCACTTGCAAATTTATGGAAGTTAGAAATGCGAATTCTCGCTCTTCATTGTTTTTTCTCTTTTTTTTTTTGCTTTCTCTTCTCCCTCTGCTATTGCGCTCGAATGGCACTTCAACTATCTGCCTTTTCATGCACGTGACTCTTGGCTGGTATTTGCTGTCAATTGTATTTGGCGCTTGCTATCCCTCAGCACCTCACCACCGCACTCTCCCACTCTCTCTCATACACACTTCTCAACACGCTCTTGATGCACAACTCTGGCGTTGGTGGTTATGCTGTGAGCGCAACTCAACTCACACCTTCTGTTATTTGTGATTTGTGCTTTTTGTTTCTGACATTGTTGTACATAAGTAAATTGCAATCAAGTTTTGTTTGAGCTCCGAGCCTTTAACTCACCTTCGTTGCCTTATCGCCTTCACCTGCCACACGTATGCACCGCCTTAATTGAGTTGTTCGATTAGTGGCGAAGGAAGTATATTCTAAAATTTCCACTGCAATTACATTTTAAGCGCCGCTGTTTTAATTACTCTCTTACTCTCAATGGCGGAAAGTTTATGGCAAGTTTTCTTGACTCTTCTACATTTTTGGTAAAATTAAAGATTTGCCTGCTTTCAGTTGAACATCGTTAATTATGTAGAAGTAATCCATTTATACTTTTCCTTCAGTGTGATTTCGTGAGAATACTTAGTAACACACCTTGCTAAGCTCATACCAAAAAAAAGGAGTAAGAATGTTATTGCGCAATGAAAACGAAGGTGGTTTTTGAGTTTAATAAGGTACTGAGTCAATTGAGGTTAGCTTTATTAAGAGAGCAGATGATAATAAGAGAGAATTTTAGTCCCAGAGTGATACCACTTAGGTCTTTAAAAAGTCTGGGTGAATCGCAAGACATTCACTTTACCTGACCACCAAAAGAACGTTGAAAATCAAAGTGTAGCCGGAAATCGCAGCAAGGAAACGAAAATCGGGATATGATTACTACAGCATAGATTCGCAAAATGAAGGGATTCGGATTTTCTCATTGATTTTCGGTTGTGCTGACTTCTTTTCGGCGTTCAACATCGATTGTTCTGGGGGCATTCTCTGTCAGACGTAAGGAGAATACTTTCTTTCTAATATAAGGAGCCATCATAAACTTTCAAAATTCATTAAGAAGACTGAAAAAAAACCAAACTTTCGATAGGTGTTGTCCGAAAGAGTTTAACCTCGAACTTAATTAGTACTAGGCTAGATGAGGGGTCACACTTAACCGTTGCTTAGGAACTATTTGTTATTTTTAATGAAACTACTTATACTGATCCATTTATTTCAAAATTATTCTACAACTCTGCCATCCTCTTCAAAGTAGTGCCCGTGGACAGCTATACGATTCCAGCACGTTTTCCATGCTTCGTAACATCTTTGGAACGCTTTGACTGAAATGTCCGAGTTTACCCTCTTCACGGCTGCCTGGATGTCCTTAATGGACTCAAAATGTGTTCCTTTTACCACCGATTTTGTTCTAGGGAACAAAAAAAAATCACAGGGTGCCTCAATGGGCGAATAAGGCGGTTGTTGCAACACTGCTATCGCTTTAGAGGCCAAATACTGGGATTGGCTGAGGGCGTTATGGCACGGCGCGTTGTCGTGGTGAAGGATCCAGTTACGAGCAATGTCTGGGCGTACCCTGTTGACTAGTTATCGCGACGCGTTGTTCTTGATTTCGTTTGTCAATTTCCGTGGCGAGCACCACGAACACGAGCAACACGACACAACAGGCGAACTAAACAAGCTAGAGCCGTGGCAAATATATCAAAGGAGAGGAAAAGGAAGAGAGTTTCAAGGTGGAAGGGTTTTGACAATCGCAGCAATACAATCAGTCTCATTACTTTATTGTGACACCTCGTCTTTGAAATTTTTGTGGACAGCTGCCCATAGTTTGCCAACTGATGGGCTCCAAATATTATACATACATACATATATTCAACTTATGTGAGAGCATGAAACTCACAAAGAAAATGAGCATCTGTTTTCTCGTTTTCTTCTTATTCGCAACTGCGTCAGTAGCTCTCAGAAGGCAGGTTAATTTTAGAGAATCAAAACTTGACTTTTTTCTTAACCAACTCTCGGATTCAGCAGGAGATGTTCGAAGATAACTTGTCAGATGTTTGCTTTACGTAAATGTTTCAATGATCAAAAATTCATTTCTATGTGGACCTTGAACTGACCTTATAGCGAACTTAAATCCAACCTGCCGCCCGGCTTTCTGAGTAATTGGTTGTTTTTCTGTATTCTATGTCAGTTACTCATCAGTGCCTTGCAGGCCTTTTCTATACCTAGTACTTCAGTTTAAGTGGTACTAGCTAACGTGTAGATTTGAAAAAAATGGAGATGTTTAGATACTCTGAGTACTTCCACGTCTTCACACCACAGTCCTTAATGTGTCCGTCATTATAGTTTAGGGTATCTTCTTCTCCTACGAATCCCTTTAGCTATTCTCTTCTAGAAATCATCCTAACATGTAAGCAACTATTGATATTTAACCTTGGTAGGATATAGTCTGATTTACTTAAAGTAGTTCTGAGCTGGTTTAGTACAACGCTATGTGCAATAGGTCAGATTGAAAATCACCAAGATTGTTAGATAGATTGAAGATGAAAAATTTTATAAGCATATTAAACACAGCGGCCGGACATGACTTAAAGACTACCTCAACTCTCTGTACAATATTTATCCGCCAGCTCAGCTTGTTGTCAATCTCAGCGAACTGATCTTTTGCTGTTGAGGATAAGGGACTTGAAGTTTTCTACTTTTTCTTTTTCGGATTGCCACTTAGTGTTCTCTCCACTCTTCTAATTTGTGATTTTGCGTCTTGAAGTTTTTCCAACAAATGGAGTGACCTACACCCTATAGTTAAGCCGACTCCAAACGACAGATGGTTTTTTTGATGAGAGGTATTTATTTCATGTCAGAAATACACGCGGAGGGGTTGACTTTCAATGGCGAGGAGCGACTGCAATTAGAAAATTTGACTTAATTCTTTATTTATATGAATTTTCTATAACTTTTGGGTGTTGGTCGTACGAGGATTTGAACCCTGGCTTTCCAAATGGCAGTACGCAATGTTAACGACTCGGCTAATGCGGCCGTCATTTTTCTATTACTTCACTATATTTTCGTCAAGGCATAAGAAAATTGGAGAATTTTAGGCAGACCAAGCGGTCTCCGCATTACCTGGAAGCAAGCAAACCATCGCGCTCACCAGTTTCGTACTAATAAAAATTACAATAAAGCCCATATGTGAACCAGACGGAGGACTAATCACAAGTCAAAAGAATTGTGCTGGAGAAAGTTCTCATCCGGTAGTACACCAGTTGATCCACGTGACGTTGGACTACACAGAAGAGTACAACGAAGAGCTAGTTGCCGGCTTCTGTCGTAATGGCCACAGCCTCGATGATATTCCCGTTGTACATTTCAAGTTGATTAAGTTTGCAAATATTTCTCTGCTTGCCTTATACAAGGAAAAGAAATTGCGGCCAAATAACATAAATATTAAACTTAATTGATATACTAAATCTTGTATAGTCCGTACAGTAAAGTATAAAGCTCAGTAGCTGTTGACTGATTCCATTTGTTTACATGTTGGGCTGTCGCGCCTGTTAGAAGTGATCTTATATGAATATTCCTTGCACCCTCAGTAGGTAGGCAGTCTTATGGCCTTTACTTACATTTTTAAATAACAACAATACCGAAAACTTCTTTTAATGCTTAAGTAATGCACTGCCACCCGCACATCATAGCATTTCAATTTAGAAATGTCCATAGAAAAATTATAGATAACACACACACACGCATACTTGTTAAATATTATATTTTTGCTTTTAAATCATTAATAATTCCAATGTGTCACTGTCGGCCACAAAGAATGACAAAATTTTTTTCTTCTGTAGGCACAAAAGTCATTTGTCATTTCGTATCCACACGAGTACTCGTATATATGTATGTGACGTAAGTGAATTGCGGCGGCGCTAATATTTATTACTCATCCACATTGCGTTGACCCAATTTGATAATTATTTTTGCCAAAGTGCGTTCAAAGTTATAACACAAATCTGCGTTTACATGCACATTCATTGGGTTTATTATTAAAAAAAAAAATTCAAAATAATTGACTAAAACACGTTTTTCCATTGCCATTCGTGCTACTCATCGCACTCGTTACTAAACGACTGAGCGACGAGTATGAAATGTCACTTTTGTTTTTTTTGACTTGTCATCTCGCATTGTTGCTAATTGAATGAGTGGTGTGTAAGTGATTGATGCGTTCGTTGACTGTTTGCAAATTCAATCATCATTTGGTAGATTGAAATGAATGTTTGCCAACTTAGATTTTCAATTAAATTTTGATATATTTTCTTCATTTTAATATCAATTCAATGCATAAAAAAGTAATAAAAAAATTTAAAAAAAATTAATGTATCGAGATGATCAAAACTAAAATAAAAAATTGGTTGAATAAATTATTTCGATTAAAAACACTGAAAATTTAAATTTAGTGTTTCATATTAGGTCAAGTAAAAAGTTCGTTCGGTTTTTATGGATTTTTCAAAATATGATAACTTTGTGCACATTTGTTCGATTTAAGTCAAATATGCGCCATTTTGTTCGTAAACTTATTACCAACTCCATTGTACCCCTCTCGGGGAAAGCTGCGCCCCTATTGGCATCCCTATTGACAAAAAACTCATAAAGCCAAATTTTCACAGACCTCTCTTGAGGCCAACCCTGCACCATTAAGCGCGCTCGCCATGGATAGGAAAAGATGGTAATCACTAGGTAAGAGGTCCGGAACATAAGGTGGGTGCATTAGGACCTCCCACCCGAGTTCCTGGAGCTTCTGGCGAATCACCAAAGATGTGTGTGGCCTGGCGTTGTCCTAATGGAACACAATTCGGCCTCTGTTGATCCAATATGGTCTCTTCTGGATGAGTGTTGCCTTCAAGCGGTCCATTTGTTGGCAGTAGAGGTCCGAATTGAGCGTTTGGCCATAGGTGAGCAGCTCGTAGTGCCAATACCACCAAACACACAATAAAACCTTCCTGGCCGTCAATCCAGTCTTGGCTACCGTCTGGGCCGCTTCCCCCAGCTTTGACCACTACCGTTTGCGCTCGTTTTTGTGCTCACTTGACGGTATGTTTCCACTATTTCCATGATTTTGTCGCAATTTTCGACGACAGGCCTCCCGATGCGTGGTACATCTTTGACATCGAAATTACCGGAACGGAACCTAGAAAACCACTTTTGTGCGAAACGTTCGTTTACAGTATCGGGCAAATAAGCTCAATAAATTTTTTCATCAGCTTTGTGAGCTTTTTCGCCTTGATTGAAGAAAAATTGTAAAATTTAGCAAATTTTCTCTTTGCACGTGTCCATCTTTGACGAGCTTCACACCGAAACGAAGCGCGCTGAAATTTGCGGGCCGGGATTTGCGCAAAAACCATCATTGGTACATATTTTTTTAAAGAAAACGAAACTGTCGATGGAAATCGATATCGGTGTATGTTGGCTCATTATGTCTGCCTGCAAATGCGTGAGAAAGCTACAAGTAATTTATTCAACAAGACTGTAGATCACCTGATTTAACCCTCCCGAACTCATTTTTGGGGGGTAATCCGAAAAGCAAGGTTTACGCCAATCAGCCTCAAACTATTGACGAGATCAAGGCAAACATTCGTGCTGAAATGGACGCTATAACACCCGAGATACTCGGAAAGGTAATGGCGAACGCAGAAAGAAGGAGTCATTTTGAATTTGCGGTTTGATATTGTTTTCAAAAACTAGTACAAAAAATTTTAAGATTTTTTTCAAAGTTGTTCAGAGCCTCTAGCGTATTTCCTGTTTCTGTTCAGTCTTCAGACAAATGGCACTTCTGACTGGTTCCTTCGTTAACTCGGCTACCAGGTTTCATAAAGTTGGGTTCTATAGACCAAGCATTAAGGCCCAGTTAACCCTTAGCATCTCTTTAAATGCATCAAGTCTTCTTTTCTTCACATGAAGCACCCAGAATTGCTAAAAGTTACTTGGTTTTTTCCTAAGGTAAGAGTTTCACACGATCATATCCGGACGGTTTTCCAACGAAAGGCTTGTACTTTTCGGTGCTTCGTATTATATTCAGCTCATAGGTATTTAGCAAAAGGTTGGTGGGTGTTGCCCATCGTTGGGCATGTTTTTATTTTCCTAGAGACAGTGAATTCGACACTGACTGTAGAATCACTACCTTTTTTAAAAAACATTATAAAATATTCACGCAGCTACGATATCCGAGAAGTTCAAAGTTTAGTTAAACTTTCTCAATGCGGTCGTCAATCGACAGAAAATATCAACTCCTCTGCTTGCATTTATGACATGAAATGGCATGAAATGAAGGCTCGTTGTAAAAAAAAACCATCAACCGTTCAGAGGCAGTTTAGATTACACTGTATGTCCCTCGATTTGTTGGAAAAACATCATACGCAAAACCACAAAACCACAAATTTGTGGAGAAGCTCGGCCGAAAATCGCTTCAGCGGTTACAAAGCGCCAATTATATATCAAATATTCCGTAGATGTTCACGTCTTCCGCATGTAGTTCTATATATATATATTTAGAGTTAATCATCCCAGCGAAATTCTCATCCAAAGAACATGCACCGTTAAATTCAAGTTTTTTTTTCGGGATCGAAAACTTTGTGATCTTTAAATTTGGTGATTTTTAGGATCTCTCATAGATCCTTACCCATGTCACGTCTGCCTATGTTGTTGACATTAACGTTATTTCAGGTTGGCAAAGCGAAGACACAATTACCTACGATCTTGCAATCTTTTCGCAGACATATGGGACATGCTCGTCCAACTTGCTGGCTTGGAATACATATTTCTATCTACCAGTCATCTAGTCATACCTTCCAGTCCTCTATAAGCATGTCGGAGTCTAGTCCATTAAACAGGTGTAGGATAAACTAACCTCTTGGTATGGACGAAGGGCAGCTACGGTAAACTTCGTTCAAAGTAGCACTCTTTCACAAGCCTTGAATTTTGCTAACCGCCCTCCTTAGCCCAACATTTGTTTGGGCATGCGTCAATCAGCAGTTTTACATTTACCAGCATTCCTGCGTTGCGTTATTTACTAGAATGGGATCTTCCGCTCATTTGACGTCTTGGTTAGATACTTCTTGGCTATCTTACTGGCAGGAGCTACAGCCATGGAAGCTGCCGTTAATTCGCGTTCTCTGCTCTACAAAAATTTTTTGCTGCTGACGTGTGACCAATTTTGGTTACAATTACTTCCTCATTCCGGCTAGTAAATTTTGGTTACGCATACTCTTACATTTTTTCCTCAACCCGATCTGTGGCGCGACCTCCAAGATCATGCAATTTAAAACCGTTTGACTATGTGAATTTATGCGGATCAGCTCTAGACGTTTGATGTCTTGGAAGAGATTACTCGACGAGTTATTGCTCACATGCGGCCCCAATCGCCGTAAAAAGTGGTCGAAAATTGTGCTTCTCGGCTGGAATTTAGCGGCTGCAGTTACTTATCTAAAATCATTCTTCGTTTTATCTTGACATTAAAATTAAATTAAATGTCTCAAAACAACACCCTTTACATGTTGCGTAGGCCAAATTAGAGAAGGATCTCGATCGGTTATGAGAGCCAATAATACACATATATATACTCGTATACTAATAAACACGAAAGAAATAAAATTAACAATAACCACAAAATACTCACAAACACAAGAGCTGCCAACCCAAGTGGTTTATGAAAAATAATATTATTGAAATTCGATAATAGCAAAACAAATAAACACTTTAGTTAATAGTCAAGTGCATGGCCATTAACAAGTAAAGTAAACAATAACAACATTGTTACTGGCAGTACCATGAAACAGCCACAGGCACAATAAGGTCAAGTTGCATGAATAAATAAATGAGTAAATAAACAAGTCAAAGAGCAACTCATTGTAGCGCATAACTGTTTTTCTATTCTTTATTTTGGACAAAAGCATATTTTTCATATATGTATGTAAATATGTAAATATCTAAATATGTGTATATAATTATTGTATACAAAGGCATTGGCGCCTAAAAGCAGATATATGTATGTACTCGCCACTTATTATTATTCTTACTTTTAATTATTCTTTGTTTCCTTTTGCATTCTGCTTTCTTTACCAGAAATTTCATTTTAACTTGTTGTTGACATTATACGCTTACTTGTTGATGCAAAAGTATAACAAAAGCAACAAGTATCATATAATATTTTCCTGCAAGCCGCGGGCAGTGAAGAAAGGAAATAAAAAAAATTAAAAAAAATAAGATGAAATAAAAACAAAAGAGAAAGAATAAAATAAAAAAATACATTGTCAGCGTAGCAGCATTGAAGGAGCGATAATTATAACAATTGTTGTTGCTGTTGTTGTTCTTCTCTGCCGTCTTTTTATTACAGCAATTCATTGTGTACACAATAGTAATAAAAGCAACAACATAAAAGAAACAAAATTACTATAACATAATTATGAAAATACAATACAATGAGTAAGCATGTTTATGGTGCGTAAAGTGTGAACGAAAGTGCAGCAGCAGCAGCAGCAGCGGTAGTAACACCAGTAATAACAGCAGTAGCAGCGGTAGTAACAGTAGTGTGATAATGAGGCCTTAGGCGTTTGTTCGTCTCTCACTCTCACTTTTCTCTTTCGAATTGTATAGGGCGGAGGAAATATTTGAAATTTCATACACTTCAACAACAATCAAGTCATAATGAGCATTTCCTTTTTTCGCCTTCAACTGTCGCCTGTCTGATTTTGTGGGCGGCAGCGGCGATGACGATGGCGACGGCAACACTGTCGTCAATTGTGGCGTCGTCGCGACCATGTCAGTCAGTGGCTGATTTGAATGTTGGCTAGACGGAGTATGTAAAATAGGTGCAGACGCTGAGTAATGCGAGGGCGAAGGCAAAATGGTCGTCAAGTTACGGTCACTGGCAGCAGTGAAAATGAGAAAAAAATGAAATTTGAAAATGAAAATTTTTCATCTCTGAGATGCAAATACTATTGCATATGTATATGTATTTGTTAAGATAATTTCTCTAAATTAAATTTATATTTTTCATGGAAAGAGTAAGAGCGGTGAGTGCATAGAAGTAACAAATATAGGTAGTAAATAGTCTCACGAAAATTTTTATCAATTTAAATTTAGTATTCTCGGCTTATTCAATCAATTAATCGGCTTGGCCTTCGCAGCAAGAAAGATAGGTCCGAAATTTCAATTCCAAAGGCAGTGCAACTACATAAAAGATGAGTTATGAGAGTCCGGACCGTTGAATAGCACAGCATGCAAACAGGTGCC